TTAGAACAACTTTAGGTTCACAACAAAATTGAGCATGGAAGGCACAGATATTTACAATTTCTCCTTCAACACATACACTCTAGAGTGGTACACTGTTAGAACTGGCTAAACTACTTCATTGTCACCCATACAATGGCTTCTGCTTTCTTTCAGAAGTATATAAATTATTCCAGTACCAGAAGTACTAAAACAAAGCTATCATCTTGGACAAGATAAAAGAAATTATTCCTTTAACTCCTCAAGTACTTCTTCAACACAACTTACACAAGTTTTAATTTACATTTGGGTTCATATATTGTGTTGTAGATTTTATTAATTTGGACAAATATGTAATGGCATGTATTCACCATTACAGTTTCATAGAGTAGTTTCACTGCCCTAAATATCCTCTATACAAGGGGGCTTCTTAAAAGTCCATGGAAAATGAAGTTAAAAAATTAAAATTTAAAAATGTACACTTTATTTCTCAACATAAACTCCATCAAGGTCAAGACACTTATAAGTAGTGATGCCAGTCATTTAATCCATCCCTATCCTGGAAGTTTAACTAAGTCAATGAAATATATTTTCACACTATTAACTGAAGAAAAACTGGGTTCCCTTTAAACATGTTTTTGACAGGCAGAGTAGACAGTGAGAGAGGCAGAGAGAAAGGTCTTCCTTTTTCCGTTGGTTCACCCCTCAATGGCTGCTGTGGCCGGTGCGCTGTGGCCGGCACACCGCGCTGATCTGAAGGCAGGAGCCAGGTACTTATCCTGGTCTCCCATGGGGTGCAGGGCCCAAGCACTTGGGCCATCCTCCACTGCACTCCCGGGCCATAGCAGAGAGCTGGACAGGAAGAGGAGTGACCGGGATAGAATCTGGTGTCCTGACCGCGACTAGAACCCGGTGTGCTGGCGCTGCAGGCAGAGGATTAGCCTATCGAGCCGCCGCGCCAGCCTTAACATTTTTTTAAAAAAGCTTAGAAAAAAAAGTCAAAGGGAGTGAAATCAGGAGTATAAGGTGGATGCCTTAAAGACTGCCCATTAAAAATCTTGCGAAAAAATTTTTTGATGATAGAAATGAGCAGGAGCATTGTTGTGGTATAGAAGTAATTTCTGGTGAAGTTTCTTACTCATATATCTGCTGTCACTTTGATTAACTTTCTCAAATAATCATATAATAAACAGATGCTATCATTTTCTGGCCATTCAGAAAATCAATAAGCAAGATGCCTTGGGCATCCCGCTAAAAATTGTTGCCATGATCTGTGCTCGACTGGTCCATTTTTACTTTGACTGGACCACTTCTATCTCTTGGTATTCATTGCTTTGATTGTGCTTTGTCTCCAAGATTGTACTGGTAAATCCATGTTTCATCTTTATTATAATTAGTTGAAGAAATGTTTCAAGATCTTGACCCCACTTATTTAAAATCTCCACTAAAATTTCTTATTTTCAGTTAATCTTGGCACAACAATTTGGGTACCTATTGAGCAGACAGTTTGCTCAACTTCAGTTTCTCATTCATAATTGTATAAACTAAAACAACTGATATGTCCATGGTGTTGGCTACTGTTTCTGCTGTTAATTATCAGCCTTTTTCTAAAGATTTTATTTATTTGAGATGTAGAGTCACAGACAGAGGGGAGGAGAGACAGACGGAGAGTCTTCCATTTAATGGTTCACTACCCAAATGGCCACAATGGCTGGAGCTGGGCTAATCTGAAGACAGGAGCAATGAGCTTCCTCTGAGTCTCCACACAGGAGTGCAAGAGCCCAAGCACTTGAGCCATCATCCACTGCTTTCCCAGGCTGTAAGCAGAGAGCTGTATTGGAAGAGGAGCAGCCAGGACTTGAACTGACACCCATATGGAATACCAGTGCCAAAGACAGAGGCTCAACCTACTATGCCACAGCACTGTCCCCACGCCTTCTTCAATTAGGGCATAAACAAATTTTTTTAACAAATTGGTGTGGATAGCCTGCTACTCTGGGTTTCCTCTTCAGCATCATCTTATTTCTTCTTCAAAGAAGTTGTTCGGTTATAAACTGCAGATTTCTTTGGGGACATTGTCCACATAAACTTTTGGAAAAGCATGAATTATTTTGCCATTTTTCCACACAAGCTTCACCATAAACTTAATGTTTGTTCTTGCTTTAATTTAAGCAGAATACATGTTGCTCTGATCCCCCATACCTGCCCTCCCACCCCCAAACCATCCCACCTCCTAATCCCTCTCCCATCCCATTCTTCATCAAGATTCACTTTTAATTATCTTTATATATAGAAGATCAACTCTATAGTAAGTAAATATTTCAACCAGTTTGCACCCACACATACACACAAAGTATAAAGTATTGTTTGAAGATAATTTTTACTGTTAATTCTCATAGTACAACACATTAAGGACAGAGTCCTACATGGGGAGCAAGTGCACCATGACTCCTGATGTTGATTTAACTGAAATTCTTATTTATGATGTCAGTGAGCACCAGAAGCTCTTGTCATGAGCTGCCAAGGCTGTGGAAGCCTCTTGAGTCCACAAACTCCAATATTATTTAGACAAGGCCATAATCAAAGTGGAGGTTCTCTCATCCCTTCAGAGAAAGGTACCTCCTTCTTTGATGGTCCCTTCTTTCCACCGGGATCTCACTCACAGAGATCTTTCATGTAGCTCATTTTTTGCAACATTTCCATGCCGGAAATGCTTTCATGGGATTTTTAGCCAGATCTGAATGCCTTAAGGGATGATTCTGATTCTGTTTAGGGCATTTGTCATTCTTTGAGTCTGCTGTATGGACTGCTTCGCATGTTGGGTCATTCTCTTTTTTTAATTCTATCTATTATTATTTGCAGACACTTGGTCTTATTTGTGTATCCCTTTGACAATCCTATCTTTATGATCAGTTATGAACTTAAACTGATCACTTTAACTAGGTAAGATGGCATTGGTACCTGTCAACTTAATGGGATTTAGAGTATCACGGCAAGTTTTTAGCTTTACCCTTAGGAGTAAGTCCAAGGGAAAATGTGCTGAACTGTACATCTCCTTCCTTGCTTATTCCCACTATTATTTTTAACAGGTATAAGTTTTCAATTGGATGTAAACACCTAAGATAATTCTGTGTTAAGTAAAGATTCCAACCAATGGTATTAAGTAGAAAAAGAAAATACAGAAAAGAATAAAATAGTAAGCTGTTCCTCAACAGTCAGGACAAGGGCTGATCAAGTCATTGCTTCTCATAGTGTCAGTTTCACTTCAACAGGTTTCCTTTTAGGTGGTCAGTTAGTTGTCACATGAGTCTTAAGCATTATCTTAAGCACCAGGCTAAACATCTGCTATTCACTATTACTATTCTCCTGTAGTTTGAATTCATTGATAGCTTATATCCTTGATTTAAAAAATATTTTTGGTGATTATTATCATTTTCTCCTAATTTAATCACTCATTGTGTTTAAAACAATGCCTTGCTCACTCAATATTGAGTTACTCAATATTTTCTGACTATCTAGTCACTATATTGAGTCACCACAGTCAAAACTAAGATTCTATAAATCTACATTGAGATAGAATTTGAGACCAATTTCTGCCAAAAACTAGGGAGCGTTCTTCAGTGACTTGCCTAAAGTAGTCAAGAAAAGTGGCCTATATTTTTATCTTAGGAACTCAGGTTACCCATATGGATCACAAAACTGAGATGGATTATTTGTGTGAGTATCTATATAGAACAGAAAATTGAATCATAAAGGTGGATTTCATTATTATGGTTCTAGTCATTGCAGAATGATTGAACTGAGTCTGTAAAGGCCATCTTCAGTCTTAGTTATTTATTGAATAGACATTTACTGAGCCCCTATTTTAGGCCAGAAACCATGCTAAAATGGAAGAAATTATTATAAGCATTGAAAATAAGCTTTTTCATGACTAGTCAACCACAAAACAGACAGATGGACAAATAGATAATTATAATACATAAAATAAAAGAGGACTCTACCACCAATTACAGATCAAACATTTGAGGTCTGGAAAGGGTGTATAGAGAAGTTGGCAAGTAGAGATCCTAGTGTCTTGAAACACACTTTGGGAAACAATACACAGTTTCAAATGAAAACCTGGAATTACAGGCACATTTAGATTTCCCAAATATTTAGAGAAGACTAGATAACCTAATCTAACCTAAATACTCTCCAAGTAAATGGCTTAAGACTTTTCAGGGAAAAAACATTGAGTGGAAAGAGAAGTGGAGAAGGAAAAACAGCATATGGGTCACCATTGTGGTGTAACGTGTTAAGCTGCCACCTGCAAAGCCAGCATCCCATATGGGCACCAGTTCAAGTCCTAGCCGTTCCACTTCAGATCCAGCTCCTTGCTAACGTACCTGGGAAAGCAGCAGAAGATGGTTCAAGTGCTTTGGTTCCTGCACCCACATGGGAGACCCGGAGAAGGCTCCCGGCTTCTGGCTTCTGTCTGCCCAGTCCCAGCCATTGCAGTCATGTGATGAGTGAACCAGGGGATGGACAACATCTGTATCTCTTTCTCTCTCTCTGTCTCTCTTTCTTTCAAATAAATCTAAAAATAAAATAAAAATGTCAGATAACTCTAAGGAGTCTCTGACATGCAAGCAGCAGGTAAACAGGAAGAGACAGTGAAGGAGCCTGGTGATGAGTGGTGGCCAGAGGGAGTGTCAGGTAGAAGAAAACCAGGACAGAAAACAGCTAGAGGGACAAGAAGGAAAGTGTTTCACAGAAGCACTATGAATTTTCAAAAGACAAATAATTTATGAGCAGAAAAGCATACTGTGAGTTCTGAGAACTGAGAGGTGTTCAGTGATCTTAAAAAGTGGAGTGGGGAGAGCAGAAGCAAGTTACAGTGCTTGTGGGGCAGTGAGTGGGGAGTGAAGTAGTAGAGATGTTGCTGACTCCTTCAAGCTGCTTTGCCAGAAAAAGAAAGAAAGAAATGGAGTTACAGACAAGGTGCAGAGTTAGGTTCTTTTTTCCCTACTTTTGTTTTGAAATAGGATATAGAAGTAGGAGCTATCATTCATCTCACTGAAAGAATTGTTGAACAGAGATTTCTCAAAATTCTGGCCACAGCAGGGATATTAACTACCAAGAAAGCACCTAGAGAAGAAACACTCTATGGAAAAAGGTGAGTTGGAAAGTCCTGGTTTCAAATAATGGTTTGTTCCTTTGTAACTGGGAAAATTACTTAACCTTGGCAAGACTCTCTTAGAATATAATCTCTCACAAGTTTGAGTTAAAGATGAAATACACTAAAGTACATAGGTGCCCACCATGGTTATAAATTTTCCTTTCTTTTCATTTGTCTTAAGGAAAACCAAAAAGCAGTAATAAAAGCTAGTATTTTATTAATTCTAAAAGACATGTATATGGTTATTAAGATTTATCTAAGTACCAAAACAGTAAGTTCATTCAAACCAATAATTTTGTAATTCAAATGTAATAATAGAAAACACAAATAATACATCCAGAAATCCACATGAAACAGAAACATATATAATAGGTATCTTTAAATTTGATGAACAAATTAAATCATGTGATCATAAATTCCACATGACATGTAAATCCAAAAAGGTTGTGAACAGCAATTTATTAATGTTTATCCCGACCAAGAAAGCAAGCTGTCCTCTCACAACCACAAATCACATTCCATAGAGAAGACTATTCATTAGGCTCTACTTTAACTGAGCTGAAATACTTCTTGCGGTGCATCCTGGTCTCTACTTGGTAGATCACTAGTGCCCAAGGAGAGGTTGTAGAAGTCGGCCCACATGGACTATGAGGTCCACGGTGTAATTGGTAAAGTGAGTTCCAAGCTTAAGGCTCTATGACATAGCAGTCTTTGTGATCTGAACCTTGTCTCAGCTACCAAAAAGCAAGGATGATGACAGACATCTTATGGATAATTGAGAGTGTGTTCCTTGTCAGCAAAATCGCCTATTAAAATGATTACTCAGACTCCCTGTCAGGATGTGATCAGGCAGAAGAGCCTCAGCCAGAATGTGAATGGTGCCTGCTGTGAGCACGGCTCTCATCCATCAAGTAAGTGGATGTTCCTATTTATAAAGCTGTGCAGTATCATTCCAGACTGTTGGTCTTCTGGTATCTAATCAATCATACCCACTCTTGAATGCAGATAGGCAACTCTCCCTAGAGGATGAGAAAACAACCTCTTTTTAAGTGGCATTTGAGGTGTTTCTCCACCAGATTGCTATCTGAAAATTAGTCCTGATGTGGTATGCCCCTTGAACTCATGCAGTTTAATCCTCAAAGTCTTAATGTTAATGGCATTAAGAGGGTAAAAATGTAATCCAATTATGGTGGTTAGACATGGGACTTTGGAAAGTTACTAGATTAGATTAGGTCATTATGGTAGAACCCCAATGATTGAATCCTGGTGGTTTTATATGGTTAAGGGGAAGAGCTATAACACAGAGATACACATATGCTTCACAAATATGATACAGCGTAGGCACGTAAAAGCCTGTGCCATGTTGTTTTGACCTTGTACCTCCAGAATCATGAACCCAAATAAACCTTTTTCCCTTATAAAGTAGCCTGCCTCATGTATTTTTTATAGTAATGAAAAGCTAAATAATACAATCGCTGAATAGCACCCTCCTGGATCATCCAATGAAAGCATTGTTTCTGGATACCTAAATGTTGAAACTGATATGTGCCCACACATAGGACTTTTATCTGATACTTCAAACAGCTAAAAGGAAAGGATAAGATCCAATAAAGTTAGGTAAGAGAGGAGTGTGGGAGGGGTAAGTGTGTATGTGTTAAGAGAAGAGCTAAAAAACAGAACAAAGCAGAGCAGAAAAGTCAAAATCTCTCGGGATGAGGAAGAGCAAGTCTAGAATTCAGGTCAGATTGCATTATCCAAGTTATCACAGTAAATACAAGAGTAACAATCTGATATTCTCCACATGATTAGTATTTGTATTTGAAATATATATTAAGGTATTTTTGTTGTGGATTATCTGTTATGTTGTAGGTTAACACTGAAGTTTAGCTAAAAGTTTACTAAATATTGGTAAAACTATAGGTAGAATTTAAAATATTTCAGGGATAATGTGTTATACAAATATTGCCTACTTAATTAAAATGACTGTATTTACATGCCTTTGTATGTATAAAGGACTGCACTCATTCTTTTGATAACATATCGCATGTGTGTATGTATGCATTTATTCTCTCCTTCTATTAATCTAAAAGTACCTTAAAGAAAGAGACCGTGTCTTATATTTCCTTTGTACTTCCCTTAACTATTTAGTTCAGATATTATTATACCCTGGGTTCCCCAAAATGTTACATTATCTGATTATTAGATGCCTATATTTATATCTCTCTTAGGGACACCAAGTTTTAAATGGATGTATGAATAGTTAGGTAATGACCAGAAAAAGACATTAATCTGTTCAACAAATATTGTATAAAAAGTTAAGTTTACCCATGAAAACGAGAGATGATCTCTGTGCTAGAGTTAGGTATTATTATCAGAGAGAGGAAACAGTGAAGGAATCAGATGTGGGCAACAAAGTATTTAGAGCTGCTCTGATGGAAGTCAGTACAGGCACCACATGCACATAGAAAATTTCCTGGTTCTGTCACATTCACACCCATTCTTCTCAGTTACAGGCATCGTTTGTGCAGGGCTCAGAAATATATACATTTAAGCTGAATGACAGCTTTTCAATGTTCATGGGAACTGCACATCATATTAAAAGCAGGAAGACAAAAATAACACATAGCAAGGTTCAGGAAAATTTAGAAATTCAGATGGGTAGAGATGAAAGAGACCAACTAACAGGACTCATACTTACATAAGCAGTCCTCATTTTTATATTAATAAATAATTGAAGATTGCATGTGGCATCTACGTCAATGTAAACTTTAATTTACAGCTATGTACCATCTGTCCTACTTCCTATTTTTATTATGGCAACTTCTTTGAAGAAGGCATTTGATTTGAAAAAGAATGTCATAGCTATTTTTAGAATTTTTTCCTACAAAAAAGACCACAGACTGGAAGAAAGCACAGAGGCACAGGTGGTTCAGTGAAATTTTTCAATGAATAGAAATGAGTTAAAAGTCTCTAACATTTCCTTAAAATGTCTTATGATGTTAGAACAAATTGAATTAGTTTTTATGTATTGCTCATGCATACACATAGCTTATTTGTGACATAATGACCAATGCTGTTTTTGGCTAGCAAATGTAACTTTCACACTTCAGTTCACTGCCTGGAAATATTATTTTTTGTAATATTGACTTAATCTTTCACAGGTAAGAAGAATTAACACACTGGGAAGAAGAAAAAATATTTCCACTATGCGGAACAAAAACTCAAAAAAAATAGTCGTGTAGATAGCTGACCATTAAGTTATTTTGTTAATTCCATTATTTACACCCTTCTGAAGAAAAAAGCAGAATGGTGGGGCTGACATTGTAGTACAGTGGGTAAAGGCTCCACCTGTGATGACGACATCCCATACAGGCATCGGCTCATGTCCTGGCTCCACGTTTAATCCAGCTCCCAGCTAATGGCCTGGGAAAAGCAGTGGAAGGTGGTCCAAGTGCCTGGACCCCTGCCATCCCCGTCGGAGACCCAGTTAAAGTTCTTGGCTTCATCTTGGGTCAGCCCTGGCCATTGGGGCCACCGGTGGAGTTAACCAGGGAATGGAAGATCTCTCTCTCTCTCTCTCTCTCTGTCCCTTCCCTACTCCATCCCCCTCCCGCCCCTGCTCCCTGTAACTCTGCCCTTGAAATAAATAAATCTTTCTTTTTTTAAAAAAAGTAGAATGGCAAGGGATACTACGTGCAGTTATTTGCAAAACTAGATCAGAAGTCAACCCAGATTATATCCAATATACATTTCAAATTCACCTGTGCCATGCAGAGTGTCCACAAAATACTTCAATTAATAGAATCTATTTTCTTTTCAAATATCTAGGCCAATTCAGTTCAAGTATGAAACATATTTTATTCCTGGGTCCCAGAACTGTCTCTCTCACTCTTCCATGATTTCATCTGGAGAGGACTGAGCAGGTGGAGCTACTCTAGTCTGAGTATCACATTAGACAACCACTTTGACCCCGAGTGGCACTGAATCCTCCAGGAATCTCCCTAAACCCTAGCTCTTCATAATTCACAGAGCTAAATCAGACCTGCGTGTTTGGTAAAGAACATAAACTCTGGAATTATTTCTTGATTCAAATCCTGGTGCTGCACATATTCGGTTTGGGAAAAGTTAATGAAGTTCTTTGTGTACAAGTTAACTTTTTTGAAAAGTGAAAATTATAATAGTGCCAACATTATACTTTTAAAAACAGATTTACTTAAAGGCAGAGTGTTGAGGTAGGGGTAGAAGGGGGATAAATATTCCATCCACTAATTTCCTTCACAATTAGCTGCAACAGCCAGAGCTGGGTCAGGCCAGGGCCAGGAATCAGGAACTCTATCTGGGTCTCTCACGTGGGTGGCAGGTGCCCAAGTACTTGGACCATTTCCCACTGTTTTCTCATTTGTTACAATGCCAGTCCCTATTATAGGGTTTTTTGTTTTTGTTTTTGTTTGTTTGGTTGGTTGTTTTTTTGACAGGCAGAGTGGACAGTGAGAGAGAGAGACAGAGAGAAAGCTCTTCCTTTGCCGTTGGTTCACCCTCCAATGGCCGCCACGACCGGCGTGCTGCGGCCGGCGCACCGCGCTGATCCGATGGCAGGAGCCAGGTGCTTCTCCTGGTCTCCCATGCGGGTGCAGGGCCCAAGCACTTGGGCCATCCTCCACTGCACTCCCTGGCCACAGCAGAGAGCTGGCCTGGAAGAGGGGCAACCGGGACAGAATCTGGCACCCCAACCAGGACTAGAACCCGGTGTGCCGGCGCCACAGGCGGAGGATTAGCCTACTGAGCCCCGGCACCGACCTTTTTTGTTTTTGTTTTTGTTTTGTTTGTTTGTTTTGTTTTGTTTTTGACAGGCAGAGTGGACAGTGAGAGGGAGAGACAGAGAGAAAGGTTATTATAGGGTTTTTAATGAAGATTAACTTAAGCACTGCATACAAAACTAGTTAGCAAAACACATATTATTCATATATACTTATTTAATGTGAATTTGTGTTTACATATAAATATAAGTGTACACTTTTATCTTCACAGTTGCATTTCATCTAGGCATTCATATTACTTTGTTCTTATCTTGCGTATATTATGTAAAAAATTTTTCCCTTTGCCAAATAGATACAACTAACTAAACCAGAGAGAGAGAGAGAAAAACAAACCTACAACCGAAGAACCCAAGTTTTTTATCCATTTCAGTTAGGATATTTCTGCCAGTGCTTGCAATAACAAGAAGTAAAAACCTCTTGGGCATTGATAATTGGTGCTTTTTCCATCACCAGTTAGAATTCTGAGGACCTGGAGGTCATATGGTAGGGAAAACTTCAGATGTGTTTTTAAAAAAGCAGAAACAACAAATCCACATAGATTTCTGCCTGGAGAGAAAATCCTTTCTCCCATGAATACCGATTCAGTTCAAAGGCAAACCTAACTCCAATCCAATACAGAATAGAATGGAAAGTTCCTAGAAGGGAATGGAAGCATGGGATTGGGAGAAGGAGAAATAAACATACAGAAAGTTTATCCTTGCATGTATTCTAGTACCTTCCTGGGAAATAATCACTACCTCTGTATCAGAGTTGATGAAATGAAAAGAATCACTAAGCAGATTGGGAAATGTAGAAAAGGGACTGAGGCTCTGGCTCCCAAATTTCGTATTCAGGTCACACAATATTCCCTGTAGCCACTCTGCATTATCAAAGATAACAACAGGACCTGCCAGGTGGTGTTTTAAGTAGAAGTAGGACTGCTTGTCATTTGTTTGCTTGTAGGTTTTGATATAAGAATGAGACAAAGACTGGATATCTCAGGGCTAAAATTGCTGGTTCCAAAGCTAAAACATCCCCTCCATGGAAATAGAAGTCCTCTCCCCCAGCAGAGTGTACTGCACCAGGAAGCCATCCACACAGCTGGAAGAGAGTCTGAGTACTCACGTGTCTGATACTTTATTGGTGTAGTACCATTGTCTCAGTATTTCAAATATTTAAACTCTGAACTATGTGCATAATGAAATATACTCATAGAATTATATACTGCATCTAAATTTCATATCAAATAAAGCTGCTCTTGACTAGAAAGCATGTTGACTTATAGTGCTTCCCTCTCAAAATGTGTTTAAAATGTTATATGGCTGTATTAAGTCCAATTTCCTAAATTGAACATGAGCATGTTTTTTCTTATAGTATTTTTATTTCCCCCAGAGTCAGTTTCTGCCCAACCAATTACCAGAAATCCCTAAGAGAATTTGAACTTCCTAAGAAAAATGGAGTAGCTTGGAAGTATTAGGGAGAAGGGAGGAAATGGAGAAGTTCCTAGAGTATGTTTTTTTCCCCCCTTTCTTTCTTGAGAGAATCAAAGCTTGGGAATCCTTCAAAAAATAAATTTACTCCCACAGGATTATTTATTTTATATTCTTATGCAATTGATCTTTTCTAGACAGATTTAGGCTGGAAAGGTAGAAAAACAACATCCTTGGTCTGGCTCTCTCAGGTTCATTATACTATAGAAGAGTATGGTACAATGTTGATGATGTCATTTTAAAAATATTTCATTAATAGTATTAGTGCCAGCATTTCAGGATTATAAAATAATTCATTTTTTTCCAGTGTTGCAGTTACTAAGCTTGACTACTTGAAGTTACAAACCACTTACGGTGACTCCTCTCCTGATCCCTTCTTGTATCAGGCCACTCTCCAAGGCCATGAAGGCCAACCACTGTCGGCCCTCATCACAGAGCTTGATCCTTGACAGTTTGCTGATCCCAACTACCACAGAGTGGCTCTTGCTCTACAAAATAAAAAAAATAAAAAAGCTCTTGCTCCGGGTGAAACTTGGCTTCTGGTAGTACTATCCTCAGTCTTTCTCCCTAGCTACATTCCATAGGGTAAAGAGAGCTAACTATATTCCGATAGATTTTTGTTAGAACACAAATTTTCATCAATAAGGGACTGATTCATTAAATTAAGACATATCCATATGGTATGATTATAAGTCACTCAAAGAGTGACTAACAGCTACCAAAATCAAAAGATGTGCTTTTAAAATGACAAGAGCAAGTCTGATTAGTATTTATTCTAGGAGCCCATCTTTGGAACTAAAATGCCATGACTTACGGTATCTTTATGCTCTTTCTCTAGTTGATTTTCTCAATGTCTATAAGAAAATTAATAAAAGTGGTCTGAAGAATGTATTGGACTCCCTAATGGAAATGATTAAATGCACATAAAATATATTTAGTATACACATGGACATATGTAGCATCCAATTTTTTAAAAGCATAAAAATAAATTTGGAAGCAAAATGTGGATTAAATGCAAAATCCTTTATATCAGGAAGAGAGAAGGCTGCCTGCTCATCAGCAAAGCCAACAAGTAAGCCTGCTGGCTAGGAGGGAACTAGAAAGGAGCAAATTGCCCAATCCACAAAAAAGTGATTCTTCTCAACTGTGCTGAGGAGCCCAGCAAGCCCCATCTTGAGAATAGCAAGAGTTGTCTTCCTTTGCTAATAGTCAGTCCATTACTGAGTCATAGCCAATTGTTGAATCCAGGGGTTCTCTCATAACCTTTTTTTTTTTTTTTTGCCATTCCATTTATTAAAAGTCTGAGTTCCTGCATCTCTAGCTGAGAAAATAAGCAGGTCAGGGTGATCATGGCCCATTGTCTGTAGCTTTGGATGGTGGGAGAAGAGACAGAGGTCCTCTCCTGTCTTTAGCTGCTGCAGCAGCAGGTTTAAAGGATGTGCCCATACACCTTAATTATGTCACCCTCAATTTTATGGAGGATTTGGCCTGAAAGTTCTATGATTTAAAAGAATTAACAGATGTTAATGTCCATGATATTCAAATTCACTACATGTAGCTGACAGCTAACTAGGTTTTCTAATTTTCCTAATGACTGACCAGAGCTCACTTTCTCCTTTCTCTCTCTCTCTCTCCCCCCCCTCTCTCTGGTAAATCAACTTCTATCTCTCTTACATGCTCTTTCCCAACCCCACCCTCACATTATTTTAAAATATAACCAATTTGGGGCTGGCAATGTGGCACAGCAGGTTAATGCCCTGGCCTGAAGTGCCAGCATCCCATATGGGTGCCGGTTCAAGACCCAGCTGCTCCACTTCCTATCCAGCTCTCTGCTATGGCCTGGGAAAGCCATGGAAGATGGCCTAAGTCCTTGGGCCGCTCACCCATGTGGGAGACCTGGAAGAAGCTCCTGGCTCCTGGCTTCAGATTGGTGCAGCTTCGGCCATTGCGGCCAACTGGGGAGTGAACCAGCAGATGGAAGACCTCTCTTTCTCTCTCTGCCTCTCCTCTCTCTGTATAACTCTGACTTTCAAATAATAAATAAATCTTTAAAAAAAAATAACCAATCTTTATTCTGTGTCTCTGATGTTTATTTTATAAATAATGGTTCCAGGCGCTGGCGCGGTGCCACACTAGGTTAATCCTCCGCCTGCGGCACTGTCAACCCATATGGGTGCTGGGTTCTAGTCCCGGTTGCTCCTCTCCCAGTTCAGCTCTTCGCTATGGCATGGGATAGCAGTAGAAGATGGCCCAAGTGCTTAGGCCCCTGCATCCGCATGGGAGACCAGGAAGAAGCACCTGGCTCCTGGCTTCAGATCGGTGCGGCTCCGGCCATTGCGGCCATTTGGGGAGTGAACCAATGGAAGGAAGACCTTTCTTTCTGTCTCTCTCTCTCACTGTCTGTAACTCTACCTGTCAAATAAATAAATAAAATTCTTTAAAAAATATTTAAAAAATAAAAAATAATGGTTTCATGTACAACAAAGTTAAATTGTGTAACTTAATTTTTTAGTTGATTCTTATTTTACTCCTTAAAAATGAGGACAGAAAACATTTTTTTAAAAAAAATTATCATCCTCCATTCTTTTGGATACTCCAAAAACTTAATTCAAAAGTCACTATAAGCAAGAAGAAAATTTGGAAAGGTACAAAATTCATATTAAAAAAGCTCAGGGCAGGCACTGTGACACAGTGTGTTAAACCACCACTTGGGATGCCCACATCCCATACTACAGTACCTGGTTGAGTCCCAGCTACTGCACACTTCCAGTTCAGCCTCCTGCTAGTATACCTGGGAGACAGCATATGTTGGCCCAACTACTTGGGTTCCTGCCAACCATGTGAAAGGTATAGATCCAAAAGGAGTTCCTGGCTCCTGGCTTTGGCCTGGCTGGATCGTGGCTGTTGCCAGCATTTTGGAAATGAACCAAAAGATGGACAATCTCTCTCTGTCTCTCCCTCTCTATTTACTCTGCTTTTCAAATAAATGAATAAACCTTTTCAAAAATGACTTTTAGGGGCTGGCGTTATGGTGTAGTAGGTTAAGCTTCTGCCTGTAGCACTTGTATCCCATATGGGTGCTGGTTCTAGTCCTGGCTGCTCTTCTTCTGATCCAGCTCTCTGCTTATCGTCTGGGAAAGCAGTGGAAGATGGCCCAAGTCCTTGGGCCCCTGCACCCATGTGGAAGACACAGAAGCAGCTCCTGGCTCCTGGCCATTGTGACCATTTGGGGAGTGAACTGTCTGTAACTCTGCCTCTCAACTAAAGAAATAAATCTTTAAAAAAATGAGTTTCGGCGCCGCGGCTCACTAGGCTAATCCTCCGCCTAGCGGCGCCAGCACACCGGGTTCTAGTCCCGGTCGGGGCGCCGGATTCTGTCCCGGTTGCCCCTCTTCCAGGCCAGCTCTCTGCTGTGGCCAGGGAGTGCAGTGGAGGATGGCCCAAGTGCAGGGGCCCTACACCCCACGGGAGACCAGGAAAAGCTCCTGGCTCCTAATCAGCGCAGCTCTGGTCTTTGCAGCCATCTAGGGAGCGAACCAGCAAATGGAAGACCTTTCTCTCTCTCTCTCTCTCTCTCTCTCTCTCTCACTGTCCACTCTGCCTGTCAAAAAAAAAAACAAAAAAAAAACAAAAAAAAACAAAAAAAACAAAAAAAATGAGTTTCAACATAAAAAACAATTAAATAATGGGGATAAGGAAATATAGGTACAGCAGTAATTAATATAGTCTTAGGAATATTTTTTTTGACAAGCAGAGAGGACAGTGAGAAAGAGAGAGACAGAGAAAGGTCTTCCTTTTTTCTGTTGGTTCACTCCCGCAATGGCCACTGTGGCCGGCGCACTGCGCTGATCCGAAGCCAGGAGCCAGGTGCTTCTCCTGGTCTCCCGTGCAGGTGCAGGGCCCAAGCACTTGGGCCATCCTCCACTGCACTCCCGGGCCATAGCAGAGAGCTGGACAGGAAGAGGAGCAACCGGGACAGAATCCGGCGCCCCGACTGGGACTAGAACCCGGGTGCCCACACTGCAGTTGGAGGATTAGCCTATTGAGCCACAGTGCTGGCCCTTAGGAATATTTTTAAAAATAAAAATTCAAGATCTATATCAAACAATTCCAATACAGTATTTAAAACTTTTTAATCTGTTAAATATTTTTATTTAAAATGTTAAACTGTGGTTTATAGATCAATATATATCAACATATATTGATAAATTTTAAATGATTAATAAAAATAACAAAAATTTTAAGTGAGCTATTTTAAAGTTCATGGGGTAAAAATGAGCATCTTTCTATGTTTCAGAAAAAGCTTCTAAAAAGGAAAGGAATAGCCTTTCTAGATAGTAACACATATTAAAATGAAATTGTAACAAAAATAGTCTGATACATGTACCTAAAGAGATATAAAGAGCAATTCACAGAAGGGTCTAGAAGTAGACATAAATATTTGAGGGTTTTTTAAAAAGCTCATGGAAAAGTTTATTGGGGTGCATACTTTTTTGAAATCTATGGATAGTTTCTTTATAACATGCATTTTGCATGAACTTTTGAAAAATACCTTGTATATGGGAAGGCAGATTAGGAGAAATGGATCCTTCAAATCAATGGGGAAAGATCATTGTCAGTCAGTAGGCTGGCAGTTATTGGGAAACCCATATCAGGAAAAATATTACTGGAACTCAATCTCATTTTTTTCATCAAAATGAATTCTATCTGAATCAAAGTCTAGAAAGTAAAAAAAAATTAAATTATGAAGATACTGTAACAAAATATGAAAGAGTTTAAAGAATCATCTGGCTTGGGAAGAACTTTTCAAATTTTTTTTTAAGATTTATTTATTCATTTGAAAGGCAGAGTTACAGAGAAGCAGAGGCAGACAGAGAAAGACAGAGATCTTGCATCTGCTAGTTCACTCCCCAAATGGCTGTAATGGCCAGAGCTGGGCCAATCTGAAGCCAGGAGCCAGGAGCTTCTTCTGGGTCTCCCCCATGGCTGCAGGAGCCCAGGACTTGGGCCATCTTCTGCTGCTTTCCCAAGCACATTAACAGGGAACTGGATCAGAAGTGGAGCAACCAGGACTCAAACCAGAGTCTATAAGGGATGCCAGCATGCAGGCAGCAGATTTACCTGCTACATCACAGCGCCAGCCCCTGGAAGAACTTTTTGATACTGATATAAAACCCAGAACCATAAAGTAAAATAAAAGAGTGACAATTTTATCACTAAATTTTACATTTAGGCCGGTGCCGCGGCTCAATAGGCTAATCCTCTGCCTGCAGCGCCGGCACACTGGGTTCTAGTCCCGGTCGGGGAGCCAAATTCTGTCCCGGTTGCCCCTCTTCCATGACAGCTCTCTGCTATGGCCCAGGAGTGCAGTGGAGGATGGCCCAAGTGCTTGGGCCCTGCACCCGCATGGGAGACCAGGAGAAGTACCTGGCTCCTGGCTTCGGATCAGCGTGGTGCGCCGGCCACAGCGCGATGGCTGTGGCGGCCATTGGAGGGTGAACCAATGGCAAAGGAAGACCTTTCTCTCTGTCTCTCTCTCTCACTGTCCACTCTGCCTGTCAAAAAAAAAAAGT